ATCCTTTCAAGTAAGCACACAATATTTAGTCATATAGCACTCCACAGACAAGAGTCAAAGAGTGCTTTACAGTTTGCAGTGTTTTAAAAGTTGGAGTCACTAAAAATGTCTGGTATCATTACCATCTTGAGGGTTGTTTTTGGCAGTTTTCCCTTTGGGAATATTCTTCAAAAATACTTAGCATATCTCACGGCTCTTTATTTTTGCCCATTTATATACTATAATCGAACCCACAGAGGCTGATGCTCCAGAATACTTAACAAGCCAAATTTATTGCTTTTTAATTAGCACAACAGTTTTCAGTTGTGCAATCATGATTAATTTGGTCTTTCACGTGATCAAATAGCATTAGGGAACCCAATGTGTCACTGAAAAAAAGGAGTGATGGGTGTTTCTAGGCCTACACAGATTAAACCATTAATGATTTTATAATGATTGGTTACATCTGTCTGTTTTCTTAGCCACTCACTCAATCCAGGGTTGTTGGGGGTGGTTGGAGCGTGTCCCAGCTGTCTCTGGGCAAGACCCAGGGTCTGTCCCAGTCAGGTTGCTAGTACATCACAGGGCCAACACATACACAAAGAAACCATTACAGCTGATGTAGCAGTTACATGGATGTCTTTGGATTGTGGGAGGAAGCACGCGGAGAAAACCCATGCAAGCGTAGGGAGAGCATAGGCCGGGCCTTTCCACACAGAAAGGCCCGGCCAGCTGGCAGATTCAAACCCTTGCTGTGAGGCAACAGTGCGAACAACTGTTCCACTGTGTCATAATCATTATTTTCCATTCACAACATTTTTGGTCAATTCAATTTTAAATTAGAGAAAAAAATATGCTTTTCTTTCAAAAATGAGGACATCTGAGAATGATCCCAAGCTTTCCAGCAGTAGTTTATGTTAACACAGATCAAAAGGGGGCTCTTCAAAACTCTTCAAATGGCTACAAAGGATATTTGTTCAGCTTTATTTATATCTCAGATTTTAGTGGGACGATAAGGTCGAGAACTTAATACATCTTCAAATTGTCTCTAAGGTTGTGGATTTTAGCTGTATGGTTATGGATCTGAAAACTACTAAAACAATAAAAAGCAGAATTAACAAATTAAATTGCAAGAGTCAACTTTAAATAAAATTGTAAAATCCAGCTATGCTTTGCTTTATTAAGTCTGAGATAGACGCAGAGATTGTACATAAAAAGAAATCCACCATAGTTTCACTGAGTAGGAAGTGAAGTCCCGTGGCGAAGCCTCCAGCAGAATTTATGGTACCACATTAGTCTATGTAGTGTTTGGCTCCCAGAGTGATGCCTGTGTGCAGAGCTTAACCTGCCATTGATAATGCTTTGCGTTGGTAGAATGCTAACTGGTTGAAGAAGTGCTTGAACAGGAAAGGGAGTGACAGCGCACACCTTCATGAGGAAGAAGTGCAAAATGATAATAAAGATCAACATATTACACTGGCTATAGTGAAGAGCTGTCATTAATATTAACACAGTTTCACGATAGAGAAAATCTGTTCTTTCGTGACTTTTATTCTGGCTGTGGCAAGAGCTAAATTGAAAGGCCAACAACAGAACAACAACAGTTTTTTTGCAGTTGCATTGAATGTTAGATAGAAAGCACTTAGGCATAGAAAAGAGTGCCTTTATGAAAAACATGCTTTGAGTGCTCTAGTAGAGTAGAAAAGTAATGTAATGTGAGAACCAGTCCATTTACCAGTCACCTAAGTCACCTACAGATAGCTATTAAAAGGAATGCAGATGTGCAACACTAACATAGGCTTCTGTTTTAGACCCAAATCTTGCACTCGTTTATCTACTGAAAATCAGAGCTCTGATTTGAATAGTTGATCAGCTGTAATTTAGATACGATTTAGATGTATTTTAGGCCTAAATGAAGGTCCGACGTTGATAATGAAAAATCAATAGAGTCAAAGACACTCCATTCATAATGTTAGACCCATACAGTTTCCTTTTTAATGCAAAATGTTATCTGCTCAGATCAAAACGTGGAGTGAATAATGAATAAGATTTGTCATCGTTTCACAGTACTTTTTGCAACTTTGTCAGTGAACATGATGTGTAAGTGCAAATATATACTTTGCTTGACTTTGACTTTTAACCACTTTATGGCTCTTTTTGCTTTGCTGCCATTCGCTAATGATTTCTGATCTCAGCCTAAAAATGGCTGCTTCTGTGATTAGGTGTCCATTTCATCTAGCGAAAGGTAGATTGTGTCATCTCTTAGCAAGCTTTAACCCCTGTCAATGAATTAAAACTTGAAATGTGCTTGTACTCTGTGACATGGAAACTTTTGACATCTGAGTCTTGATTGTCTTCTCCTTCCTCCTCCACCTCCTCACTGAGCAGACTAATTAACTGCTCTCCCACTGCCTCATCTTTCTCAGTGAAGCTTAAGAGCTTGATAGACAGTCAGAGAAAAGAGAATTCGTCAGTGTTCCACCACAAAAGGCTGTCAAAAAAAGAGAAAAAGAGATGTACAAGTTTTGGCCATGTTCATCTTCTTCTTCGCTTTAATTGCACCATCCTACAGAACCCAAAGTTTTCACAGACAGATCTATAAAAATCCCTGAGTAGTATATCCCAAGAGGATTTAACGTGTCTTATCTGAGGTGGTATCCATCTATTTGGGGGAGCTTTTGAACAAGAAAGCTGATTTTACTGGCCTTTAGAGAGCTATAGATGAATAGATGAATTTCCTAACGTGGAGCAATCCAGACTGTAGCGGCAATAATCGGTTCTCTCTTGACCTTCTCATAAGATTTGCTCTTCCCTCTTTCTCAGCAAAGAGTAGGGAATGAAGAAATTATTGCATTAATTTAAAAAGACAGTGAAATGATCACACTGAGGGTAGACACATTATCTGCAGAATATTTGTGTAATAATGTAGTCTTTTCCTTTTTTTCCTAGTGCCTCCATTTATTGGTATAACCCTTGCTAAGCTACAAAAGTGATCCCTCTCATATTGACTCTCAACAGGAACTGCCTGCTCACTAATTTTGTCTTATAAAACTTTCACCTACTGATTTCATTCATTTTTCAAACACCAACTCCATAGCCACCTTAGCAACTTCAGCCCGGGGGCTCATTTCTAAAATGACAAGAATTTAAGAGCCTTCTCTCCATTGTTAATTTTTCATCCCTCTCACATTTCTTTCTGGCCAAAGAGAAAATCCACCAAACGCTTGGACACAGCAGCATTTATAACTGTGAAACTGATCAACAAATTATTTTCATTTTAAGCACCCTCACATTCTGTGAATCTGTTCACAGGGTTAAAGTAGATTTGTACAAAGTTATTGTGTCCAGTTTGACTTCATGTTTAAAATTAACACTTGCAGCTTGAAAGAAGAAATGTTTAAAGACAGTTAGACCTGATGTTTTTTTTTGTTTTTGTTTTCATCTTTAATCAATAATGCTAAAGTACTGTCAGATTTGCAAACAAGCTATAAAAAAAACAATCCAGTTAGCAAGCTTGGGGGACTTTTCAAAAAGCAATTCAATTGTGAAAAAGTTCAAAAAATGTAACACTGTACTTTATTGGCACCATCGAAATTTACTATGCACAACTGTGGCTTTGCTCATAGGAGAAGAATTGTTTGAAGATAGAAAACAGGAGTTTATAATAGAAATGTGTCTCGAGTGTTAAAAAGAATTGTTATAATAGCAAACAAGCTAACAAAGCAGCTTGTTCTATTCACACTATATGAAAGATGAATTTTTCTTCCTGGTCTGAAAAGCGAAGCCAGTACAGAAATACAAAACTCCAGTCTCAAAGCTTCAGAACAGAATTTCACAAACCAGTGGGTGATGACATGTTTAATGTCTGTTAGCTGCCTTGCTAATAGACAGTTAACAAGCTAGCTTGAAAGCATGGCCATGATTTTCTCTGTTTCTTTTTTTTTTTTGTAATGTCATTCTATTGTTATGAATTCCACAGTAGTTATAACTTTAGATGTAAGTAACACACCGATATTAAAAGCTATTTATATGAAAATATAAACACATACTACAAAGTAGTTTAGATGCTAGCTTACAAACAAAATGCAAGCAGGGAATACAAGAGTCGTTACATTTTATGGAAGTCGTTCTGAAGTAATAAATGAGAGTGAGGTCCAGTGCAATGTCTGCTAAGCACAACTAGCATATCAGAAAATCTAATACGGTTCTGCCCAAATAGCAAAATCATGTTAAATGAATGTTGTTTTTTCATCCAAATCATCATTATGGTCAAGATTGAAATCTCAATGCTAAATATCAAATCAAAGTTAAAATATTGATGAAGCCTGACAGTGTAATAGTAATGCCATAGGAAAAATATTGATTCAAAGTTGTCCTGTTATAATTAGCTACTGAAAAGACTTTGATCTATAGTTGACCAGATTATACTGACAGGAGGTGGATTTGTAGTTGACAGAAAAATTGTATTGAAATGTCATCAATTTATAGTCGAAAACTTGTTTATTTAAGTTTATATCTTGATGTAAGGAAATCCCAAAAAGTTGATTCTGTTTATCTGAACGCAGCGTTTTCAGTAAAATAAACTTTTAGTTACTTCTTCTTGGTCACAAATTACATAATTCCACTTAATGTAAGTCAGAATCCAAGAATTTCCACACTTTTGGAAGCAAAGCCGTGGAAACTGTATTCCATTTCCTTTGCATTCATATTTTACTCATTTATCCTTGTCAAGGTTGTGAAGACATCACACCAAATAATTGTAATGCATGTGAAGTCTTGCTTTTCACAGACGCTGGCAAGAGTTTATGTATTGAGAATGGTAGATATTATTGCTTTAAAATAGCTGGCAGTCATCATTTCCAAACTAGTCATCCAGCCCACACCACATCCAGATATTTTTTTCTTTACATAAAGATATGTCTGATAAACTGTTTACAGACCATGATTTTTTTTTCACCTATCTTTTATATGTCTTTCTCTGGCAGCAAATAGTTTAACATAACATGTTAATAAGCACTTACCAGGCCTGCTCAGATTGTGGATTGGGCCAGTCCAAGCGGCACATGCGGCCCACAGTACCATTATGCCTTGGGAAAGACTTGAGAGTACTAAACACCGGATAGGGCACCATGATTAACAATGACACCACCCAGGTAGCAGCGATGACGCGATAGGCGTGAGATCGGGTCTGCCATGCACGGGATTTCAGTGGGTTACAGATGGCACTGTATCTTTCGATAGCAATGGCCACCAGGCTGAAGGTGGAGATGCTGACGGAGACTCCTGGAAGAGAAAATAAATGAGACTAAGAAAACATTTGCAAAGCCAGTTGACTCACTTCTTGTACACAAAGAGACACATTGTTGCAAAATTTACATTCTACATTCGTACTCCTCAATAGATAAATCATTTGGTTATCCTTCAGTTTGGACTCTCCACAAGGTTCTCTGGGTGCCACCCTGAGATACTGAAAAATATCTGAACTGAACTAAAAACATAAAGTGAAAAAGAAGGCAGACATATTTGTTCATTCATTTGACTGAAAACATGCTTTGCTCCTGACTTTTAAGTGGCACACCTGGCAAAATCGCTCTACATCATGTTAAAATTGCATTTAACATTTTTTATTGTTATGCTTAATTGGATCCCCTGTGTCCACAAGAGGAAAACATGAGAAAGAGAATATTACCTGAATTATTTTTATGACATAACCCATCCCCTTGGAATATCTCACAAAATGTGCCATCACTATTACTCAGTATAACAAATATCAACCTGTTGACAAGAAACATGTCCACGTACTAATGGCACATTTTGGAAATAGAGCAGTACTAAGCACATACATTTAAGTCTAATATTTGCTCATCTTTTAGTTAACACTAATAAACAAATTGTTTGTTTAAACATGTCAAAAGCAGCCGTGAGTATTTACAGAGGAGAAAAGTATGTGAAAGAACACACCCTTGCAATACAAGAGCCTCCCAGTTCAAAGTCAAATAAATGTCAGGCTGCTCCATCAACAGTAGCAATGTGGCTCAGTTTTCTATGGACCAAAACTGACTGATGGCAACAGTTCAGCCACAGATCCAACAGGATACTTTTCAATGCTGTAACTAAGTGGCAAACATCGCCCAGATTAGGTTTAAATGTCTCTGCTATCTGGATATCAGTCAGACTAGAAAGCCAATTTAACTTGTGGGGCTTTAAGCACACTTTTAGAAATGTGAATGCACTACGCACTTTAGACGTGAAGCATACAGAGCATAATTTATGTGATAACAGTGTTAACAGTGATGCCATCTTCACTGCCTGGAGAGGCAATGACATCGCTACCCAGACTGCATTCCAATGTAAGCAAGAATTGTAGCTTAGGAATGAAAGGATCTTTACAAGTCTAACAGGTTTTTGGTATGAGTTTTAAATAGCTGGTGTTAAAATCCAAGTTACGGTCACATTTTGTTTTAGACACATGGGAAACAGCTAAAAAGGCTAAAGGATGTTACATTTCAATTAAGTCTTGTAAGTTCCAATTAAGTTCCTTTTGTCTCCACTTTGTTTAATTCTGGCTTGCACCTTTTGGTTGCTCTACTTCTCTTTTAGATTTCTTCAGGTTTTTTGTCTTTCCAAGAGAGAGAATCAGCTAAACTCAAACTTTACCACGAAGCCTAACCCAGGTCACCAGAGACCTGGTGGATATTTAGAGTTTACAATTCATTTCAACTTTATTTATACAATGCCAAATCACAACAACAGTTGCCTCAAGGTGCTTTATATTGTAAGGTAGACCCTATGACACAACAAAGAAAGGGAGGCGACCCCCACGTGGGGGTGGGAGGGAGGCCTCCCATACTCATCAGGTGCTGGGAGCTGATGAGTTTGTTGTTGTGTGTATGTGTGGTTGGCGGCTGAAAAGCTGCAACTGGGGAAAAAAGTGTGTCAAAAGTGTGAACTATGTGGTCGGGTCCATCCTTACTCCCACAGACACAAACCAAGGCCAAGTTGAATTTGCATGTATTTATATCCATAATCAGCTGAGGGGGAATGAAGTAACTTGTTGAGTGTCTGTGCTTGAAGTGTGAGTCCAGATGAGACAAAAAGCACACGCACATACCTGTGTGTCACAAGCAGGAATAAATTCCCTGCGCTGAACCTCTGTTGCTACGAGAGGCAGCAACCTCAATCCTCCATTTCTCTGTCACGCAGCATATTAATCCCCATTCATTGTTCCTCCAGGACGGAAGAACATATCCTGCCTAAACCAGGGCTTTACGTTATCACTCATGGGAGGAAGTCATTCTGCATTCTCCTGTGAGCACGGTGCAACTCAATTTACAGGAACAATACTAAGCTTTTGAGTGGTGGTCAGAAACGGTTTCCCTTCATCCTTTGGTGCAGGCTTTTCCTGCAAACCTGTGATTAAAAAAAACAAAACTGTGTTCCTTTCTATTGTGATAAGATTTTCTATCTTATCAAAGGTAAAAGATTAAGGATTTAAGTATATATTGAGTGAAAAACGCAAGGATTGAAACACCCAGAGGAAAAAAAAGGGGGAACAGCAAGGATAGTTGGTGTTGGATTTGATGTGGATCTGATGGGAGCAGGGAGGAGCTGTATCTTATTCCTGCGCCGCCAGAACAAAGGAGCTGACTGGCAAAGATATTCAACAACAAAGAGAACATCAGCTGCACAAAAAGACGTCTGAATGCCTTTTCTGTTCCATGAGCTGTAGAAAAAACAGTATTTCAGCTCTTTGCAAGACGGGAAACTTTTTGATTGCTGCTTCACTTGCATGAAACCTGAAGGGATAACAAAGCTGCCCCTTGATAATCAGGCAATCATTAGTCCAACCAAATCAGTAAACCCAGTGCAGTAAAAAAGTATTTTCCCCTTCCTGATTTCCTAGTTTCTTGGTATATTTGTCAGATCATCAAACAAATTTAACTCTAGACAAAGATATTCTGAAAATGCCTTTTTTAAATATTATGAAGGGTAGGGTCTTTACCTAACAGTATAAAGCACCTTGAGTTGACTGTTGCTTTGTGAAAAAGTACTTGCCTCCTAAACCTAATAGCTAGTTTTGCCACCCTTTACCGCAATAACTGCAACATGAGTCCTTCACATTATTGTGGAGGAATTTTGGCCCACTCTTCTTTGCAGAAGTCGAGCATTAAAGGCCCGTTGAAGGCCGTGGAGAAGCATAAGTCCGGTCTTTGACTTGGCTTTGGACAGAAACCTTCCAAACCATCCAGCTTTTGTCTCGTCAATCCACAGAACAATTTCCCGAAAGTTGTAGGGATCATTAAGGTTTTGTCTTTTTTCTTGTGTTCTTTTAAGTCAGCAGTGGTTTTCTCCTTAGAA